GGTAAGGTATTGCTTTCAAGTTATTTGTAATTATTGTTCTAAAGTTTAAAGTTTATAATTACAAGAAGAGAGGAGGATATGAAACATTACACTCCATATCGAGAAGAAACACCCTTCTAAAATTGGAATAACTTCATCACAAACACAAATTTGATGGCAAATGCCGTCTTTCATTTCCAAAATTGGAGATGAGGTAAATGACCCTACTTTATTTAAATATAGTGATATTACTGCTAAAAGAGAATTAATTAAGTTAGTTTGTTCTAAACATCTTCCTTTAAATTTGCAAATGATTTACGTTTTGAAAAATGGGTTACTAATGTTTACAATCCTTCGGCTGGAAGAATTTCACGGTCAACACTCACTCATGATATTGATATAATGGTCGGTGAATGCAAATTAGAATTAATTAATATGTTTAATAATTTACAAAAGAATATTTCTATATCTTCGGATGTTTGGAGTGATCATTGGCAAGAACATCATTATATGGGCATTACATGTAATACATTGGATTGATAACTTATGGAATTTACAAAAATATTTAATTACATATAGAGAATGTGATGTAAAACACACAAAAATATTTAATTATATTTACAAAAATATTTAATTATATGGGCAACAAACATTTCTCACAAAATATGATCTATTTTGCAAGAATATAATTTACTTACTAATTTTTTTTCATTTTCATTTGATAATGCAAGTGCTAATACGGCTAGTTTAAATTCTCTTATTTGAATATTGTCAACCATCAATTGGTGGTAAATTTTTCCATGTTAGATGTTTTGTCATGTTTTAAATTTATGTGTTCAAGATGGTTTATGTTGTTTGAAAGAGCATGTACATTCTATTAAACAAACAATTTCTTATCTAGTAAGACATGCCTCACTATTAAAACGATGGAAAAGATATTGTAGACAAAATAATTTACAACCCAAAAAAATTTCGCTTGATGTTTCAACTCGATGGAATTCTACTTATAAAATGCTACGTGGTTCATATGAATATAAAAATGCACTATGTGATTATTTCTCACGAGAAACATGTGAATGTGGTTTTACTTTATTTCCATATTATCCTACTTCTAATTTGGCTATAGATGATTGTGTTAAAATTCATTTAATATTAAAGAAATCTTCAAATTGTTTGCTTCGAAATGCTATTGCTTCCATGAAACTTAAATGGTTTAAATATTTTTTATATTTACATGATATATTTTTAGTTGCTAAAATACTTGATCCTAGAGTAAGATTAGATGGATTAGAATAATTGTTAAACATATTATTACGATTCGTTATTTCTTGAAAAAGATAATAAAACCCCTAACCTTATTCCAATTGCATATGGAGCAAAACGACTTTTAAAGGATATTTATAGAGAGTATGAACAACAATTTGATACTTGTAGAATTGATCCTAGCCAAAATATAGATACTAGTTCTAACGTATCTTGTAGTTCATCTCAACCTTCACAACTTTCACTCTTTTATGATTTTTATAATGTAAGAGGACGTAAACATTTTAAAGAAATTTCAAACCCATATTTAGAATTAGAAACTTATTTAACAACTACTTTTGAATATGGTGAAAATGAATTAGAAGAATTTGATATTTTCAAACCCATATTTAGAATTAAAAAACTTAGTTAACAACTACTTTTGAATATGATGAAAATGAATTAGAAGAATTTGATATTTAAAAAGGGTGGTCTAAAAAAGCATCTACTTATCAAATAATAACATTAATTGTGAAAGAAATACTTGTTTGTCCCGTTTCAACTGTAGCCGTCGAACAAGCTTTTAGTATGGGTGGTCATACATTAAATGCTAAACGTTCTAAATTAATTGTTGAACACTTAGAAAATCATTGCTTACTTGATGATTGGGTAAAAGTTAAAGATAGAAGTCAATGTAAATCTAATAATAGGATTCAAGTGATGATCTTCAAAATATAACCAAAACTGATGATTAAAATTTATTAATTTTGGGTATATTTAGATTAGTATATATAGAGATGTTAAACGAACCAAGCCGTTCGTGAACTCGGCTCGGTTCGGCTAGATTCGACTCGGTTAAAGCTCGTTCGCGAACGTTAACGAACCGAGCCAAACAACATAAACCGACTCGTTTGGTTAACGAACGAGCCCGAGCTTTGTTCGCGAATGTTCGCGAACGTTCGTTTAAATAATATATTTATTATAAATATTATATATACATATAAAATTATAATCTATAAATAAATAAAATATTAATTTAAAATATATAAATAAAATAATTTTAAATTTTCTTTATAATTTATATATAAATTTTAAAAAATAAGACAAACGAGCTCGAACGAGCTTAATTGAACCTAAACGAGCCGACACGAACACGAGCTCAAACAACAAAAATTTTTAACGAGCCGAGCTCGAACACTACGAACGAGCTCGAACGCTTAACGAACAAACACGAGCCTTGTTCCCGAATGTTAACGAACAGTTAAAATTTGACTCGGCTCGACTCGGATCGTAACAGCTCTAAGTATATAATATTTAAAAGAACTATATGGGCTTTGATTCCAATTTGACACGTAGACAACATATATTTAAACTTCTAAATTAGATTTTCTAAGTTTAAATTTTTTATAAATTTTAAATTTAGATAAATCTAAATTAGAAATTTAAAACTATGTCCAAGTCCCCTTAATTAAACACAACTTAATTTCTTAAATAAAATGTTTACTAACATAGTATTATAGGAGCTATATAAAATCATAATCATAAAATATAATAATATAATTTATAAATAAAAATCATAAGTTAAAAAATATATACATAATTTTGTAACCGAAAATTGAAATTAGCACTTAGATAATTTAATTGTTTACACTTTACACAAATAACTCATCTAAAATTTATAATATTATTAATAACATAAGAAGATAAGAATTAATAAAATTGAATTATTTTTTAAAACTTAGAAACACTTTTATAATAATAAACTTACACAATTTTGAATAATTATTATTTATATATTTATAATTACATATTTTTTTATAAAATAATTACTTAAATAATTTTTTGTTTACTTGAAACTTGGAAGTTGAAATAATCTTTTTTTTAAAAAAAAATTGTTTTACAATTGTAAAAATAAATAGTAAAGTCAAATAAATATTTAAAAAGTCGTCAATCTTTGGATTATCTAATTAAATAATTTATAAGTTTAAATTCTAATATAAATTAAATAAAAAATAATCTTAGTCTTAAACAAAATAATTTTAAATTTCTAGTGTGATTTAATTTAAAAATTAACTTATTACACAATTGTATAAATTATAATTTTATTCTTAATTCTTAATTAATAAACGGATAAATAATTATTTTATAAAAAGGAAGTATTATTTATATATTTTTCATAAAAATACAAAGATTTAGTAAATTAAAGCCAGAATCAAAATTAATAGTAAAAATTAATATAAAGAAAAAATCGGAAAAGGAAGTAATATAAAGTTATAAACCAGCGGTTCTAACCGTAACTGTCGATTTTTAAACCGTAATCGTCGGTTTATAAACCGTAATCGAACCGTCAAACTGTAATCGAAACCGTCATTCGGAAAGTTCAGCTTCGATTTGAAATTCTGACAAGCCGTAATCGACAGTTTGTAATCATAATCGGTGGTTTGAACTGTTTGGGCAAATCTAGATTGACAATGTAATTGACTCGTGAAGAGAATTTGATTGTCGATTTTTTTTTAATGATTTCTCTTGAGAACTGTTTTGGCAAATCTAGATTGACAATGTAATTGATTTGTGAAGCGAATTTGATTGTCGATTTGTTTTTAATGATTTCTCTTAAGATTTGGGGAATTTTTGGCCGCATTTCTTCATATGCTTTAATATATTTAGAAGAACACTTTGAAAGACCGTAAACAAGGCCCAAGTCCAAACTCAATTCAAGTCCAATTCACCAATTCGATTTTTCATTAACTCTTAATGAGTCCAAATTCAATATATATATAAAAAAAGGTGAACTTTGTTCTAAGTGGGACACAATCCCTTCTAGTCCACATTCCTCTTTCACCAACACCCAACACTTACTATTTGGTTGAGTATTGAATTTGACATTAGTGTACGTTTTTTGCTAAAAACCCTTATTTTTATGGAAAGCGTTATTTTGATTTTCTTTTCGAATGATGTCACATGGTGTACTCTGGTTGGCAGCAAAAAGATTTTTTACCCTTCACTTTTCATTGGATGCTATTTTTCTTTTCTTGATGAGATTGATTAAATTATAGCATTAGAGTGTAATCATATCACTACCAAAAAAATGACTTTTTGTAGCGGTCAAAAATTTGTAACGAAAATTCAATTTTTGTGCAAAATAGCCTTTTATGTCAACTCTGTTACGGATTTTGACCGCTACGAAAAATCGTGGTACAAAAAGTCTAGGTTGCAACAAATTCCGTAACAAATAGGTGGCGGTCAACCCTCAAAATAAGCATGTGTTTATTGTATTTGTTGCGTTTTTTGTACGTAACAAAAACATCGATCATATTTTTGGAACAACATATGTCCGTAACAAAATATTCGGAACAAAACTTAAATCCTGTCAGAGAACTATTTGTTAGGACATATTTTTTAAACGAAAAATGCGGTACAAATATGGAATCTTGCTAGAAAACGTTTTGTTGCAATTTCGTCCGTAACAAAAAATTGCGTTACAAAAGTAGTGTCCTGTCAGAGAACTGTTTGTTGCAAAATTTTTCCGCAACGAAAAATTCGGTAGAAATTTAATGCAAACGTACAACACTTTTTGTACCAGCCATTGTCCGTAATAAAAAATCCGCTACAAAAGGTGTCTGTCTCAAATAAGGATTTTGTCGCCACGAATAAAATCCAATTGTTGAATTTTTTATTGATCAATTTGCATCACAAATAAATTAGAACATAATATTATCGTAATTAATCTGAAATCCTTGTTCATATATGCACACTGACATCAATCCAACAACATTTATGTTCGTGTCAAAAATAGAATACTAGATGTTAACCGTACTTTAAAACATCTTCAAAAGTCACCATGCCATACACCATAACAACCAAACAACTTGCTAACACTTGATCCCCAAATCCAAAATTAATACGTGAAATAAATAAATATGGTATCAAATTGCACAATCCTAAGGTCGACTAACAAATACAACTATGAACGACCAAGCTCATCGAGTGTAAAATCACAGATAAAGCAATCAGAGGCGGTCAACCAACTGCAATGTGTTTCCAATGATATATAAGAATTATATCGGCATCTAAAGTAATTTAATTCCCAAAAGAATAAACATTTTTAAAGAAATTGTACAACCTTGTAAGTCCACTTGATGTTTTCTTCGTCGAGTACCTCATCGAGCATTTTACTCCTGCATTACTTTAGAGAATAAGTATGGTCACCGGGACTGTAACAGCGGTAACAAATGCCTTGACAATAGCTAGGGTATCACCTATATAAAAATATAAAACCAAAGCTAATATTAGGAAATATGATATCTCTAAGCAACATGAATGAATATAATAAAAGATATAAATACATCAAGTAATGATAGCAATGGAAACTTCATAATAAAATAAAAGTTATCCTTCAATTTGATGTATGGACACTATCTTAAATATAAATATACCAATGTCTACAACCGAAAGCATTAGTCAAGAAGACTGACCACCAAACATTAGGAAGATAAACCACACAACAATAAACTACGAAACAACTCTCCCAACACTGGTAAAACAACATTTATAAACCACCACAATCATAATTCATATCAGTCCATACAACTAAAATTATACAATACGGGGAAAATCCTTCAGCAAGAAAAATAAGATAACATCTCCTATGGCAAAAAATAACCACCAATCAAGCTCTATATAGAAAATTCGACCATACAACTACTTGATACCCGAATAAAAGTCCCTACAACAATATCAGCAGATGCCAACAAATTTTCCGATGCCATCCAATACCAATCTCAATCCCAATATGTGCCATTCAACTACTTACTACTATTAAGTTACTCCAAATAATAAAATAAATATCCACGAACAGCCCATATACTAATATAAATAAAAACAAGACTAATCTATATAGCAAAATAATTAATCAATGAGCACTTATCCTAATATAATTTAAACAAACAACAATAACAAACATAATCAATATTGCAGTAACAAAAATTGCAATTTAACAATTAATGGCAACATGCTAATTTAGACTAACTAGACGTAATTAACAATCTAGTAGTTACATAATTACGACTATATTAATATAATATAATCAAGTAGAGAACAGCCTCCAGCAATAATATTTACTGAACCAGCGTGCAACTAAAACTGCTCTATATTCTCTCTTCTTCATCATCTCTTTCCCACTTAAGTTGACTGAGCCTAATCCAAAGAAACCAAAATCTATTGCACAGAACAAAGCAAGCAAGAAGCAGAAAACCTACCTCTATGGTTAGTAGTTAACTAACCCTTTAAATACAGCATCATCATAATATATATTCTTGAAATAGCTTATTCATTAGGACAACCTTATCTAACAATCTATGTATAAATATTGCAGGCTGCAGATGGTGCGGCATAGATAAGTTTGATAGTGGCAGTTGTTGTGGATTACAAAGGTTTTCTTGTTGATAGGACCAAGACTGGCGGTTGGATAATAATTCGATTCAATAAGTTAGTTCAACGTCAACTTAGCTTTGACATTGGATATATAGATAAATATTGATAATATTTATATCACTTTTGTGTATAACAGTAAAAAGAAAGAAACTAATCACCACTTGCAATTCTTCTATGCACTCTTGCCTCTATAAAAAAAGAAATCTTCTTAAGAAGTACCTGTCGGATTACCTAGATTGGTATGTTATGGTAGCAGTCGCATACAGCTTATCCTTTCTCCTTTCTCTTTTGCCCCTCAACTCACAAGTCTGAAAGATGAAAAGAGAGAGGGGAACATGATTCAGCAGGAATAGAGTGAAGTATTTACATATATATGTATATACGTAATTGGTTTAGATATTTTCCATGTAGGGAAATCTCTTGAAGGTAGTATGACTAAATTCCTATGGCCATTCTTAATGGCAAGTTTTCCAGATTGTGGGAGAACAAATATAAACCCTTAATAGCTTTGTCCTTACAATTGTTCCATTGCAAACTATTTGAAATGTAAGTTTGATACCAGGCATAAGCAAATTCTACACAAAAAGTAAACCCAACATGTATCTTATAATAAACTAAAGATTTGTAAGGGTTGATATGATGAACAAGTGATCAAAACAAAGACTACTATAAGTATTGGTTGCCTACATAAACTAGTTCAAACAAGCAAACATGGTCAAATAATAAACAATAATAATCATGATGGTGTGTGAACTTACGATTCAATTGATAGTAAAACATGGGGGACAAAATAGTAAGGATATAAGACAAAAGTATAAATATACGGAGGACGAAACCAACTGCCATCATGCTATCGGAGGATGGAGTACCACATTCATCAAAGGAATAATCTAACCACATAAGATACAATAATCAATCAAATACAGAGAAGTTGCCAGAACATTGCCCAATGTTTTTCAATTAATAAAACATAGGGCTCACAGAAACGCAGTGATTGGTTGTTAAAAAAGAACAAAATCCAACAATCAGACAAGAGTATAAGCTTATGAACATTATGACATAGTGGGACATCAGAAAGAAAAGCTTATTTTAGAACATGAAAAGAAAGTTTCAAAATGATATCTTCATTGATACAAGAGGAAGTGATGATTTCCATGAAGCTCATTCATAATCCAATAAATATCGTTGCTAGTTACATAGATATAGATCGCTATATATGCTACCATTTTAATGAATACAAATACATACGTACATAGAAACCCATTACATATGTATATGTATATACATACACCGTATACCTCTAATTGTGTGCTAAATAATTCAGTTTTTGGATCAGAGGTAAGCTGATGAACTTATGATCATCTATCATGGCCATGATTGTTAAGAAAAGAGAGAGGTTGAGTGAGGTTGCACACGATGTTGATATTAGCGAGCAAGGAACAACAACTACTTCATTTCCTCCAACTATATACCGTAATAACACAATTACACAAATATGAATAACCTTCACTTACCAGCAGCAACATAATTCTAAAATATGCCCCCCATAAAACATTAATTCTTCTTTCCAATCTTATATTTTAATCTCTAACCTCCATCAAGATTTAGAAAATCAAATTAAAAGAAAAACAGTTTTTATTTCAAAATTGATGCCCAATAGTTTTACTTTAATGCTAAATAAACACTGCAAGTAAACTCTTCGCTTTATCTAGATTTCTTTCACTCACACTATAGTGTATAGTACATTGAGAGCATTGAACTACATATTCAAGACCTAGATTCATAGATAGATTGATTAAACAACAATAAAAAACCAAATATGTTAATTCACAAACTCATTTATCTTTCAAAATCAAGAGTGTTATCATCCTCTTCATCTTATTCATCCATTTATTAACCTCAATTAACAAAACAAAGTTTTGTAGCATTCTTCTAACCACAAAATAGCGAAACAAACACACGATTTCAAACATGCAACTAGTTGAACTGTTTGTGTGCGTGGTGGAGGTTAGAACAAATTGGCAAAGCTTGGTCGAGGTGAACCTTATGTTCATCAATGGCTAAGAACACCTCTTTCTATAATGACAAACCATACACAAACCAACTACAACACCAACACAGAAGAATCGAAATAAAACGCCACCAAATAGAGAAGAAATTGAAATCACACCGAGCCACAATCAAACAATGAAGAATCCACAATAATCAAGCAAGAACACAGAAAAAGATAAGCCACATGTTACCAAAATTGATCCATCTCCATCCCCACATCGAGAAACCATCGACAATGAAGAAGAGAGATAACCATGAAACAGGGAGAACAATTGGGACAACCTGAGATTGAGCGGGGAATAGCTTAATCTAAGCAATGGTTGATGGCAAACCTAGGGGGTCGACGAAGGGATGCCATTACCTGTAGCAAATGGTCAGAGAATGACCACAAGCATGCGATGGTAACTAAACGGACTCGACCTACCATATAGACACGAGATAGATAATGAGGCAAGAGATAGAAGTGGGGGCTAGGATAGGATGCGGGGAGTGGCAGTGGACCGGATCTGGTGAACGGAAGTTCACCGCCGGAGACGGCGGAGCTTGCTTCAACGAGGGTTCGATAATAGAAGGAGAGTTAGGCGAGAGAAATTGAGATCGATTATAATTTTGGCTAAAACCCAAACTGTAACATACTTTTATTTTTTTACTTTTTTAATTTTTTTTAAATAATTTTATTAATTTTTTAAAATTTTAATTTATAATTATCATTTAGTTACGGTTTATAGGCGTAACAAATGTATTTACAACGATATTCCGTTATCATTGTGATTGTTACGGTTGAATTATTGAAACAAATAAAAAATAAAAGTTGACTAAACATAATATTTTTTATTACAATATTTTTGGTAACTAAAAGTACTTTTTATTACAAAGTCATTGTTGCGGACAATAGAAGTGTCTATTGCTACAATGAGATTTCCATGTGGGTAAAAATGTCATTTTAATGTAAATCTAATTAAGGATTTGATTTCATCATTTATGTCCGTAATTAATCATTACAAATATAGATTTATACTGTATTTTATATGTTTTAACTGTCAAGTAAAAATTTTACACTAAAAAAAAGGTGTTTACATTGTCTACTAATTTCAATAGGAAGGAAAATTTGTCCAAATAAGATAGGAGCATGCAACGCCATGAGAGGAAATAAGCAGCAGTAGAGTGAATATCAATATACTTTGAATGAAGATAACATTCGGGAAAGGGTGAATGAAATCCAATACATAAATCGGTTAATAAAATAATCGAAAAAGCTTTTATTCATCACTCCATACAAAATGAGCACCCAAAAAAAAGGCCATATGCATATGTAAATAATGAAGAACCATAAGACTGAGTTACCTTGGATGTGTGTGCCTATAAGAAATCCTGGAGCCACCCGTTAATAATAATAGAACTCGGTGCAAAGTTTCTTCCCCTCCCTGATATGAGTTACTACTCTTTGATCACTTATACTGTCTCAAACATCTTACTGCATTTTTCAACTGAAATGAAATATTACTATCAAAATCAAATTGTACATACAAAACAGTCATAAGAAGACATAATCACAAGGTGATACTTAACATGTACCCCTCTTTCAGATCTATCACAAGGGAGACAAAAACCAAGATTTGCTTTATCCGGTACTAAACGAGAGCTACGAGCAACTAGAACTATTCAATTATGTCTGTTTTTAGCAAACTCCCTGCTAGCCCCAACGAACACTCAAATATATGTCCCATAAAACTTCGAGTTCCAATAGGTTTTTGTTTCAAAATTAATTTTAACATGATTTAATATTGTATCATATGTCAATTCTTCTAAAAGCATATTCTAGAGAAATATACAGCATTCTTTTATTAGCAATTCAACATGTATATACGTAGTTTGCGGCCGTCCACTTAATATTGCATTTTTTCAAAACCTTCTTTGTGAATATATTGAACAATTTCGCAACTATCAAAATTCAGAAAAAGAATTTCTGTTTACGATGTTTATGAAACATTGCCTACAAAATTTAATCTATGGAAAACATAATAATCCTTTTTTGGTAGTTTTGAAAATCATAACATAACCTAATTTAATGATATAAGTTAACAAACATCAATTTATATCATAGTTTTATAAAACATTGATTTTGCTATTTATAAATCAATCTAATTGGCCGTTATTTAGGATAATATAATCTTTTACTCTAAAATTATACATCATTAATTGAAGTTTTAATTAAATCAAATTTATTTACTTTATCAGGATTTTTAATCAAATTAATTAAATAAAAGTAATTATTCCAACATGCCCGAGAAAAACTATTGATAAACTAACTTCACGACTATAAGGATTAAAAATAAAATAAAATTTTAGGCACATCATTTTTCTTAGTGTTCTTACAACTTATTTTTCGATGACTTTTATAAAATATTGTCTACAAGATTTAATTCACGAAAAATGTAATAATCCATTTTTCGGTACACTACCAAAAATTTTGGATTCGGCCACAAAAATTTGCTTTAGAATTTGAACTACTTCGGAGATAAAAAATAAAAAAATAAAAAATAAAAAAAAAATTCCCTTTGAATTTGTATCCGATACGTACCCGAAGAATTCAATGGTTTCGAAAATTTTGAACCTATTTAAAATAACATCGGACTTTTTGAGACTATTTTAAATAGTTTTGGAAAATTTCGAGACCGAATCCGAAGTTGCAGCCATTACAGGCATTGAGTTAATATTCATCATTATCTCATAATTTCCGAGACCAATTTTTTACTTTTGAAATTTCTGTAGAAATTTTTATTTTTTTTAAATAAAATAAATTTGAAATGAGCGATGAATCTTATTTCCAATGACTCCTCCTTTTCCGGAAAGCTACCGCCGCTTCAGTTTGGATGTCAATTGGGTATGCATTCGTACCCAACTTAATTTTGCATGCATTCGTGCTTAATAAATTATCTAATATATTTATGTTGATTGGGATATTCTTGGTGAATATTGGAGAATGAAAATAATTTGAAAAGATTTTGTTGAAAAATCCAAAAAGAAAAAGTGTTGTGAAGAGACTTTTGTTGAGCAATGACAAGAGTCAAATTTGATGCCATGGTTGATGTTTTGGTTATGGATTGATTCGACGTGGAGGACATTTCAGTCCTACACTGGATTTTGAAAATTTTCTAGGCCTTGTGTTGTTGCACAAATCATTGTTGATGCTGCAAAGTTGCTGCTACAACAAATCTGATGTCGAATCAACCGGAGTTGTTGTTGTTGTTTATGTTGGTGCTGCCGCTGATGTTGATGTTGCTGCTGCAAGTATTTTTCAGTGGACCAAATGAGAATGAATTCTTGAAAATGGAACAAGTGAAATTGTTTGTGAAGCAACTGAAATTCTTGATGATATTGTTGGAACAGTTGCTGGTGACGGTGATAAAGTTGCTACTGCAACCATTTCTCAGCAAATTGAAGGTACTTGTTCTTTTTGTCATTTGCTCCCACGAACAGGGAGTAATGCAGGAAAATGAGAGATCATATTTTCAGGGGGAGTTGCCCAAGTTCTGATGATGTCTGCTTTGCTTATTGTTGATTTTATCTGTTGTTACTATTTTCGTTGGAAGTCCGAAGTGATTACAACCGTATCAATGTGAAGGCTGTCTGTAGCCTTTTTATGTTTGTTGGCATGTAATAGTTGGACTCACTCTTAGATGATTGAGTACGTGAGTAGGTTAATTCCTGCACTTTTATTCGTGGTTTTATATGCCAAAAAGGGGGAGAATGTGAATGGAAATTCCCCTAAGTTATTTTGGCATATGAACTAATGGTGTCTTAATTTCTGCAACAAAGACTTTCCAAAAGACAAAAGACATATTTGAGGAAAGATCAAAATATGGAAACTCACTCCTTCCATTACAGTGCAAAGGAAAATTAATGTGGAATCTTTTATTCCAGGAATGTGAGTGATTTACTCAATCGGATAGGGTTGAAGATTGGTAATGTGTGATTTGGAGATCATACTTTAGAGAGAAGAATATTGAGTGAAGCTCTCATCCATCTATCCATATCGATTCCCTTTAGTTTTGAATGAGTTTTGATAGAAAATTTCACCGGAGAGGTCGAAGGTGTTCGGAATTAATGGAGTTCCAACCGGAGGGAATGATCAAGCTCTGGAATTCTCTGCTGTGTGGTCGTTGTTAGTACGAGGTTGTAGCAACGAGAACCTTATAAGGTATTTTCCTGGGTTAGCCATGACTAGCATTAGAGTTAAATGAGTTGTGGTTGTTTGTGTCCTTAATCAGCATTGGTTAGTGGAATTCCTCCTAGATTGGTATCCCCCGGTGTAGATTGGTTGATAATCGAACCGGGTCAACAAACACCTTGTCTTATTGTTGTTTTATGTTCTGCATTGTTTTTCATTGTTGAAATGTAGTTATAACTGTGAACCGCCCACGCTTCAGGAGTTGGCCCTTTAAAGTGCTTGAATGTATTTTGTTCGATAAATCACTTCCCCAACAAAATGGATTTGAAACTTTTACTGATTAGATATAAATAATATATATAATAGAGGTTTGAAAATTTAAAACCTTCCTATTATACAAAAATATTATATAATATAGTTTTGGAAGTTCCGGGATCATTTAAATGGGGCTTATAGGCAGCTAAAGCCGAGGGCCTCCATGCAATTCCGTTGATGGTACTATGCTTAGCCGATTAGTTGGAATCGATTGATTCACTAGAACACGTAGAGGTAGATTCAGGCTGAAATCCCTAGATGCACTTAGTGGTCGTGCATATAGAGCCGCTGCAATTGTCACTTTATCCACAGTCATTTGCCCCCCAACCGACAAGTAGGTCAACGAATTATGGGCTTACGAACCCAAATGGGTTCTATAATATGTAGGGAAATGTAGAGTTGTTGACTTCAAGGCATCCAATTCCCCTTGGTCCCGAGGGTAAAATGCTGAAGTTTTTTCTCCCAAGATGCTTTATTCTTCAGCTGAAGTGAACGTCCAATTTGCTCCCCAAGTGGATTAGATGATTTAAGGAGCAGCGCCAATAGACAATTTTGCTCTTCCTAGTAGAAGAAAACTTGCTTCTCCAGCCATATTTTGTGTCCAACTTCGCCCCAAGCAAGTTGGTTGAACTGCTAAGTCAAATCGATGGAAAATTCGACTCCACTTGGTGGAGAAATACTTATTTCTCTGGCCAGATTTTGTGGCCAAGTTGTCCCCTAAGTTGGATAGAGAGGCTTGAAAAGCCATATTTGTATACAATCCAACTTCCTTAAATGAAGAAACATTCATTAGAAATCCGTCCGTCACAACAGCATCTCCATATTGTAGCCGATTTGTGATAGAAAGAGAAGGGCGACTTTGAATTTTATGAAAATGAAGCGACACACAACCGTGGTCCTACTGGGCATCCTAATTTGTTATATTCGAAAATTCGAATATTCTTAATCTCGCAACGGCTTGATGAAATCGGTTGAAGAATGGATAAGGGTCCTTTATGGCACTCCAAAAAACTTCTAGGTGAATATTTCGTGTCTGCAGAAAAATGAGCTAACAAAAAATCCGTTGAAGGATATAAAGAGAAAAAAAACCTTTAAAATGGAATT